CCCTTCGCGATGCTTTCGGGGAAACCCCTAAACCCTAAAACGCCCACTCTCTTAGAGCTGCAGGGCGAAAGAGCTCGCAGAAGCCGAGAAGGTCGAATCACGGGCTCAAGTTCGCTTCGATTCTCGGGGTTTTTAGAGACTTTGAGGGTATGGGCGGTATGGGTTCGAGTTTCGAGTGTTGGGATTCCGGCTTTACTGTAAGGAGGGTCGAAGTTTGGGAGGTTTCGGAGATGAAAGCTGGGCTTATGTTTTTTGTTGTTGATTATATATTTGTTATAATCTACTATGTTGGATATTGTATGTCTAATGGCTGTTGAGGGTTTTTGCAGGTCTTCAATAGGCTGGTCCTGGGCCATTTTGGCAGACGGCCAGGTCGCCAAAGAGAGCACTATCGAGAAAATGAAGAAGGACTCGGTGGGCTTCTTTCTGTACTTTTGGGTACCCTTTGGCGACGGAGTTAACTCCAAAACAAGATTTCTAGAGTTGCATGTGGAATGCTCCCAGTTGCTCTTTACTCAACTATTACACAGGGGCAGGCCGTGCATGTGTGCGTTTCACTGTTTTCGTTGTTTAAATGCTCAATACCGTAGCAGAGCAGATGCGAACAAAGAGTCTGTGCAACAAACTACAAGTGGTAGACTGGTGTGAATGTACGTGTTTCGTATATAACTTCTATGATGTATGTGTATTGGGCATGGATTGAATTTGTACAAGATGGCATGCATTGTCGACTGACAGGGATACCAGTAGTATCCAACAGAGCGAGACATGGCCGGGACGCTCGTTTGGTATGGTGGGCTTGAGTACCTCATAGTATCAGCAGGGTATAACCCGGTATCATATCGCTTCAGTCCGTAGTAGTATAGCACAAACAATCCAGACTCGGAGAGACATAGTAGCGACTAAAGCATAGCACCGGAAACACGCTCCCAGCTTTGCAATCTACGCAGTTTTTGCATGTTCCGGGCCTTGCAGGAGGCTTCAGACCTCGAGAAAACTCGGAGCGATGAGCGCGCAAAGGTCTTTCAACTGAATGCCAGCCTGGTGGACAGAATCTGGGATGCCTTATCTTGTCTTCATTATGGAGCTTTTCCTTTTCGCGGAGTCAGGGCCTTCTATCCCCATCCTTCCTCCAACTCCCGCTCCTGCACGGATGAAATACTGCTTTCACACCCAGAGCAACCACAACATGACTCACACAAATGCCAACAGCAATCGAAATTCTAAGGATGTTGGCGATACTGATACCGAGACTGAGACTCCAAAAACTGCTACTACCACATAACACCACCGCCACCACGACGACGATGACGACTACCACTACCACTACCACTACCACTATCACCACTACCACCACCGCTACTAAGAGTACCACTACTTCTGCTACTGCTTCTACTACTACTACTACTACTACTACAGCCCACCACATGGATTCCTGAAATTACTGTCCGTGCAGTAACGGTTTGTTTTCGCACCAGTTCCAGGCATATTCTGAGGGGTTCCGGGGCTTCTGAAAAAGTGCGCCGTTGTTTTGGAATGTTGCAAAGTGTGGTTGTTGGCAAGAATCCGACCAAGGTGGTACTTGATGCGCCACGCCAGGAATTTCCTTGTATTTACAGTAGTTTGGCCCGTCGGGTGCCAAAACAGACCGTTTTCCGCGATTTGTGGGCGCCTTGTTTGTTCAGTCCTGTAACAACTGAACCCGGAAGCGTTGAACGGAATGCCCTATGCGCGTGTAGATTCTGCCCAGGCCCTCGGGCAGAAAGTGTAAGTGTAAAGTAAGACGCTGAAGGCTGAAGCACTAGAATCCAAAACTCCAAAAGCCAAGGAAAACTCAAAAACCGTTACACGTAACTTTCTTCAAGCGGGGGGGGGGGGCACATGGGAGCTTCGCAGTATGTAAAGTTGTGCTTTTCTGATTTCAGGTGTTTATTGTGTTCTTGTTTCAACTTCCCTGAGGGTTCCGACCATGATTTTCGAATTTCGGGTCTTGTTGGGGGATACGGTTTGCAATATTTGGCGTTTTCCTATGCCCTGCAATGTGGCTCGCTTGAGTTCTTTGGGTTCAGGGAGGACGATGATGATGACGATGTAGATGACAACCATACTTCTGGTAAACACGATGATGCGAAGGCCGATCTCGTGGTAACCAGCCACCCTTCCTCAGGCCCCTCCGACCAGCGCCTTCTGTGTGAAGCTTTGATGTTCTGACGTCGGAGGTTCCAAGGGCCCGATAAATCACCGTGAACCCGACAAAACACGAAAAACACATGACCGAAATACATGTGCCCGCTGACTGAAGCCACCACTGCCACAGCTACTGCTGCGACGACCACGACCATGGCTGCTGCTGCTGGTGGCACTACTACGGTAAGAATGATCAGCGCTCCTTCCGTTGTCACTAGATTAACCTTTCTAAAGAACGAAAGCCAAGGAATGACAAAAGATTTGGAGGCCAGCTCAAGCATGGTGTTTCTTTTGGTGTAGCATGTTGGGGTTGAAGGATTAGGCTGTAGCGCTGTGGGGTTCAAGAATTTAGGGATTCAGGGCCATAGGATGTTCGGCCCGGCGCTTTGCGGAATTATGTTCTCCTAAATGGTTGCGGGCTATGTACGGTCATCCCGCACTTAACAAGAACATCCCATTTTCGTATAGCGGTAGTGCTGCTCTTAGTGCTGCAGCTGTTCATGTCATTAAAAGTACTGGTCCGGACCGCTTGCAAACGCTGTTATGATTTCATCGTCAACAGCAGCATGTTTCCCTCTTACTTTCGCCGGCTCGAAATGTCATTGCTTTTGCTCAGGATCCCGAATTAAAGCAAGCATGCTTGTGGCAAAACGTATGTCGCTGAGATGACATCTCCTGGAGGCGGCACGCACGGAGAAAGAAGCCATCAACCAAGCTAAAGAGGCGGCGAGAAGGGTTTAGGTTTTGGGACTTTGGAGTCTTGAAGTGGGCGGTTCAGGTGGCGCTTCGCATGCAAGGTCGATTGGAACCGACATTCCCTTCCAGACGGACCCTCCGAAAACCTGAACCCTGAGCCATAACATCGTCCCGAAAGGAGGGCGACACAAGGTTTACCCGGCTTCGGATCCTCATCTTGTTTTCCTATTGTTTCCTGTTCGTGGCCGTCAGAAAAGTCTTCATGTTTGGATCTCCTGTCGAAGTAACCGAAGCCCAGCAGCCCACATACCCAAGCCTCGGGCCCTGAAGGATCGGATGAAGGACTCGAGAACCAATGTGTACTTTCGTCAAGTAAATTCCTACGTCAACACTCAAGCCGCGGCGAGGCCGCCGAGCAACGGCTAGCGGAACTAACCGACCGCTTTGCCACCGAGCGTGCCAAGTTGGAGGCCTGTCTATCGAGAAAACTTAGGGTCCAAGGTTCGCAAGGATTATATACGACAGTTTGCATTATGCAACAAAGTTTCGACACACAAACACACACACACATTGATTGATGTTCGTATCGAGGGCACGGGTGTTCCTACCACATGGTGGAATTTTTCAGGACTCAATGCGGGAGGAGAAGAAGAAGGCGGAGAGCGCGGCCGAGAACATGCAGGCTCTGTTGCTTGTCAGATTGGCGCCAAGGACAGCCCAAAAAGAATCTCCTGCAACTAGAACAGTTCGGTGTGGAGGACAACAGCGGAGCCCAAGTCTGCAGCAGGGGCGTAGTCCTTGCCCGGTGACTCTTCTTGGCCGGAGGCGCAGCTCAAAACTGCAGATGCGGCCAATACAAAATCCAAGCAGCTCACATGCATCTTTCTTCAGGCGTGCATTCTTGAGAATCGAAGGTATCTTGTGGGTCGGTTTCTCACGATGCACCTGCCGGTTAGACTGATCAGGCTGAAGCGCTGGGTGGGGTGGGATCCGCCGTGTCTCGCACTTCGGGAGGTTTTACGAGTTCCTGGTATGAGGTCTGCGATGTCTGCGTTTCTCCTACTGGTGGAGCAAGTACGCTTTCAAAACTCAGACAGCTAAGGGAGGAGCTGGAGAAGGCGAAGTCACACTTGGAGGCACCCGTGCAGTTGGGGCCACGTGAGGGGCAAGTTCGTGTCTACATGGTTAGGAATTTCAGTGGCTGACTCCTTGCATCGGATGTTCAGGAGCTTTTCATTCGTCTTTGGGATACTTCGGGTTGTGGGCCCTGCTGTGGTCTATTTCGTGTTCGCGCCATTTGAGGAGCTTAAACCCGAAGCCCAAGCCTTAGGCCCCAACAGACCAGACGCAGCTGACGACATCACAAAAAGCCTAGCTGTGCCTGCCAGATTCATCGTTTTTTCCAGTAGCGAACACTGCCTAACAAGCAAGTACAGTAGGTCACCGTAGTTGTTGCAGCAAGTATTGCATCCTCAGCTTTGCGCGAGTCCCCACCCTTCAGACCTAACAGCCCGCACCCACTTCGCACATCGAAGTTGATTTGGTCCAGGATCTTCAGGACAAGCTACAGATTCTCCAAGCAGAGCGGGACGAGTTGTCCAAGAAGCTCGAAGGAGCAATACCCAAGTCAAGTCTGCCAACAGGCGCCGCGGGATGTGGGGCAACCACAGCACATGACACGAACAGCATGTTTAAGTTGTCGATTGCTAGTTCACCCTGGATATGATTGTGCAAGACAGGCCGATTCGTCAAAGCTCGAAGGCCCAAAACCCGAAAGCATGACTTAGAATCGAAGCCGTGGATTTGAGGGAGACATCAATCGTGATGCGGTTGATGATGAAGAACATATCTACTCAGCAACCAAGAATCACAAGACCAACGGCACTGATCATCGCACTACTGATGCTGCACTGCTGCTGCAGGCTGCAAAGATGTCGCCGACCTGGTTCGCCAAAGGACGGCTTCGCGAGAGGAGGCGGGAAAGCAAAAGGGCTGGCATTTTGGGAGGGTGCTTGGAGCGGAGGGTTTCTGGTTTGGGTTTCATTCGGGCCGGGCTCGGGAATCAAGTTTTGGAGCAATCTTCTGTGCTTCCCGAAGCCCTCGGAAGACGAGTCCCAAGAGCCCGAAGCCCGCAGCTTCAAACTGACCAAGGCAGCTGCCGAGCGTTTGGCCCGAGAGCAGTACCAGCAGGCGCGCTCGCACTCCCCTTCACAAAACCAACTAAACCCCTGAATCCTAAAGGAAGCATTTCGTGGCGCCCCCAGGCCTTAGAGAAAGTCGAGAAGGCCATCCAGCATCGCTTGCCCATCCTCGTGAGCCCGGGGCCCGGTTGGAGAAGAAAAGTCGTCGTGAAACGTGAAGAGATTGAATAGACTCGACTTCCTGCAGTGGTTCTATGAGGAGTCTATCACAAGGATTTTAGGGTTAAGAGTTACGAGATTTTAGGGTTAGGGTTTTGGGCTTAAGGTTTGTATCACAGATCGTGAATTTAGCATAGGGGTCTTTAGAAGTGGGCTTGACTCGAGCTTGGGGGCAGAGTGTACTATGGTTATCGTATGAAGACACAAGGAGGAAGCCCTGTATTGGGGCATGTCAGGAAAGATAGCAGCTTTGGATTGGGGTTAGTGGTTTCGGGTAAGAGATGACGGCTTTGGGTTTTGGCAGTTCTGTGTTTCAGGGTTTAGCGGCTTCAGGGCTTTTCGGGTTTAGGTGTTGACACCTGCAGGCTGAAACAGCTTGAAAGAACCGTGGCTCCAGATGGCTCCGGCAAACTCAATGGCCGAAACCAGAAACCTGACAGCGATTGCACGTTCACTCAGGGGCTTTGGGTTATGACCGGAGTTCGAGGAGTTCGGGGTTGAGGATTCAGGGGTTGTAGCTAGCAGGTTGACGGATCAAAAAAGCTACGTTTGGATCGTAAAGACGAGGCCACGAGACTCCAACATACCTTCATCAGGGAATACACGAATACACCTTAGAAGTCCCTAAACCCTAAACCCTAAACCCAAAACCCTAGCCTCAGAAGTATAATTTCATAAACTGCCTGCTTCACCCGAGGCCAAAAGCAGGAGATCGGTCGCTTCAAGAGCCGCGCGGCTCTGTTGACAAAGCAGAACGAGGATCTTCTGGCGAGAGCCCGCCGGCCGCAAAGCCTAAAGCCTAAGACCTTAAGCTCTAAACCCCAAAACCCTGAACCCCTAAGCATGGGGCAAAGGGGGGCTGTTCGAGTAAGAGTTAGGGCTTGGGATTCAGGGTAGGGGGTTCGAAAGTTAGATTCTTCAAGGTTTTGGAGTGTTGCTGCAAAAATGGTTTGATTTCATGTATGTGCATGCGTTGATCCAGTCTACTTAACCTGGCCAAAGCATTTTCAGATGCAAAACGTCTCGCCAATACTAGTAAGAAGGGATGGGACGTATAGGAGGATCCTTGTCTATGAGTTTGTAGGTATATTGCCTACTCGAGACTCTAGTTCGTTCAAGCCGAAGGAGGGCTTGGATCGCAAAACAGTGTTGAGAGACTAGAACTCACTTAAACTTGTTCTGAAAGCCAGAGGCCCCACACAGCGGCAGTTGCAATGAAAGTCCTATTCAGATTAGTTTGTCGTTTAGCCTACATGAAACACCGGGGTCCCCTTGACTTTCTGAAACGACAAAACTCAAACTTCAAGGACTCCGGCCGGCCTTGGAAGCCTGGGGTCTCACGTGGAAGTTGCGCTTACGCTGATTAAGATTTCTATTTGTTGTTATTATGACTAGTGTTATGACCCTTGTGGCTTTTGAGTGTGGTGGCACCGGGGCAAAACTGTGACCCTGAATCGCAAGAGACGACCCGGAACCCATCGAAGTTGCCTTCAAACGCATCCCCAAAGGTGGTTTGTAGACCACCTCGTCCTTTACCTACCTTAAACCTTAGGCCCTACTTCAAGCTGCCAGGGATTCCCACTCCATGCTTCAGGTGAAAGAGCTGGAGGCCCAAAAGAACGACTCCGAGGCCTCGGGCTCGTGTTTTACGAGTCGGAGGCTTGTTGTTCAAGGCTGAGTGTTCAACAGGTATGTGTAGTGTATGGTCGAAAGTTTTTGGAGTTTGCCCACATGATTGAGGATTCAAGGGGATCGAGGCATTCAGCGTCAGATGGGTGGATTTTCGCAATCGTGCAATCGGTTTTGCGTGTCCGTGTTGTCCGGTGGCTGGTTGGGCAGAGGGGTGCCGCTGGGGCGCATCTCATTGCCCCGCAGCCGAAAACCCTGAAACTACCAACAACCAGATTGCAAACTGAAGCTTTGGCCGGCTTTGCAACTCAAGGGCTGGGGATGTGGTCTACGGCGTTTGGGATTTCGGGTTTTACATAGAGATGTCGACTTACACTATTTGATGCAGGAAGGCTTGTGCTTTCAGGAGCATAGGGATGAGAGCCACTCTGCGGAAGCTCGCCACCCCGTGGTCGACCAGGCCCGCGCAACGAAGGCTGCGGACTCGAAGAAGCTCGTGGAAGATTATGTGGCTGACCAAGGATGCTTCTCATAAAGCTGCGGACGTGGACGAAGAGTTTTCTAAGAGGAGGGTTTTTGAGTTTCGACATGCTAGTTCCTGCTCAGTGTGTATGGCGTTGCTGCAACAAAACACGATACTGCTTGTTCGCATCAGTCACATCGGTCAGTCTTTGTCATTTGTGCCCAGGCGCGTGATGCTGCCCATCAGCTGGCAGTTCTTCTTCACGAGAACCGTAAGCTCGGCACTCACCCTGCAGCTGTGTGCTGTATGCATGCCTGTGATGACGACGATGACTGTGATACTGCTGCTGATGCTGATGACGGTGAGGTGATATGGTGAGAACATGATGACGAGTGCGGCTGCTGCCGCCGCTGCCGCTGTTGGCTACTACTCCATCAACTTTCGCTTTGGTCAACAGCAATGACCGAATAGTTGGAACATGTCGCAACTATGTAGCTGCATCTCGAAGGCGCGCACGAAAATGGCATGCACAAGCGGTCACGTATTCTGCGTAACATTTTCATATCATCAGCCGCCTCCAGAGTGAGGCCTGCTCTGCATACCGAGGCTGACTGGCTCCCTTCCTGCATCCGAGGTGACGATGGAGGCCTTGGGTGATAGTAGGGTAGGGTTCAGGGTTCCAATGAATTGCCGCCAGCCCCTCTGAGATCGAGGAAGCTTCAACTTGGAGCCGCCTGAAACAAGGAGACCGTGATACCAAACCTTGCGCTAGAGTCTGCTAGAGCCTGAGGCCCGGGAGGAGAACAGAAGAGCCTTCCGCACTGTGCAGGACGAACGTCGCCGCCAGCAGTAGTCCTTGTCATTGTTGTTTCGGATCCATCACACGGAGCCACTTTACTGACCTGGAAGCAGACTTTGCTAGGAGCTTGTGGACCAGAATCTCTCCATGAAGAACTCCATCAGTCAGCTCCTCCGTGAGCTGCGTCCTCATCTGAACAGTCGAAGAGCAGCTAGCTGCTAGCTGGGGGGTTGTACGGGTTTCGGCCAGCAGTGAAGGTCACAGGAAGAGAGAAAGGAAATGCAGCTGGCCAACGAGCGCGAGAAGCAGCTGGACACTATCTGTTGCCCTGGCCTGTGGGCTTGGATGCTAGCGTCGGTTCTCTGTTGCCGATTGGGTGGAGGGTGTTAGGCTTGATCAGTGTTTACGCAGCCCATCATGCCTCGGTGGCTTTGGTTACATTGCTTTGACCGCAGCAGCTTTCGCTACTTGGGGTCGTGTCACATGTGGCGGACCGCAGAACTTCAAGATGAGTTTGGTCATTCTTTGCGCTCGTCTTGGAAAGAGTATCGTTTTCAAGAGAGGAACCTTGCAGAGCAATTCTTCTTCCGGGAGGCTCCAATGTCTTGGTCAAGGATCTGTGCATAGAGCCCCGACGGCTGAAGGACAAAAAGCTGAAAGATCAAGAGGAGAAGTATACCGGCCTCTTCGAGGACTGCCGATGTGGCTCCAGTTGTACAGATAAAACAAGAAACGAGAATGACTTATTGTTTAATCCGAAGCCCAGGATCACAAAGAGCGAAGCATTGAACTTTAGGACCGACAGGCGTGAACTCGACCTTAAGAATAGATAGGAGAATAACGCCAATCATCAGAGCCGCACAGTGCACACTAGCAATAAAGCATCGTTTCTACAATGCGGATGACTCACCATCACAATATTGCAACAAAGCCGGCATGAATGTGATCATCATTCCAACAGCGTAGCGTTCTATCCTATCGTTGCCTACAGTCATACTAGGCATTTGAGAACCCTAAACTGTCTGGAACCACAACCTTAGTTCGATGCTCCCAAGCTTCACCAGAACAAATCCAAGCCTCAAGAGGAGCTCAAGCCTTAATGCACAGAGCCGGGAGCATCCTTCCGCCGTTTAGAGCTCCTCAGATGTCCAGAGTTACTCCCCGGCCCCCTGGACCCTCAAAAGGGGCAGCGGATTCTAAATGATGGTTCCGTGTCGGGTCCGCTGATCAACAGCCTCGTTCTACCCCATCAGGAGCAGAAGGCTCAGATCCGCAAGATCGAAGAAGAAAGAGATCGTGCGCAGAGTGAGGCCAAGGAGCGAAGACGTTCGGCTTTATTTGGGGGCTAATGCTCATTCTTAGTACAGCCGTCCCTTCATGACAGTCACGTTTGCTGTAAGTGGCTTCTGACTCTCACATTCTTGGAAGTTTTGTTCTTCTTCGAGTTTTGTGGTTCAAGCGGTTTGTTTGAAGCGTAGGCTCACTTGGGCCCGGCTGGCACCCGCAGCCTTGTGATTGACATGTTTCTTGCCGTGGTTGGTTACGATAGAAGTGCAGTTTTTGTACGATGTTCGCGTCGTCCCAACTTTCAGAAATTTGGTTGTGCAGATTGTCACCATAATCCTGCTGTCGCTGTTAGACTGGCGATGAATGACCATCACTGCTGCTGGGCCATAACTATGCTTTCCACTACATATGTTTACCAGTCATTGCGATTCCTGTTGCTTCATGCCACTATCGCAAGCTAGTGGTTGAAGCATCATTGCATGTGCTGTTTATCATGCTTTCCAGATTATGGCCCACTTGTCGTGGTGCACAGGCAACAGTAGTGGTAAATGTAACAGCAGCAGCAAGGGTAGTGAACATGTTCGTAGGAGTGGTGGTAGCAGTAGCATACCTTGTCTGAAACGTAGCTGTCGTTGTTGTTGGTGGTGGCATCGCAGCAACAGCAGCATTCTCAGCAGTAGTGTCATGTTTTCGAGATGTCATGTCAAGCAGGGATGATCGGCTTGCACCGACAAGTTGGCGCAGCCAGTTCGACGAGAAGGTTAACTGGCAATTCATTGAGAACAGCAGCAAGACTATATTACCGCCATCACCGGCCTCACTATCACCATAGTCCTGGCTCGATCCAAAGGCAGCGGTTGATTTAGCTTCTAGGGGTTGGGCACTGGAGCACCGGCTACATGCAGGAGACCACGAAGCAGCGAGAGGCAGAGGCTGAAGCGCGAAAGGCACGGATGCCCTGAGCTGCGCTGTTTGGTAGGAACCCGGAGCCCCTCAAGCAATCGACGCAAAACCGGGTCAGACTGCAATTCGCAGGTTCAGATCGAAGCAGAGCAGAAAACATTGAGCGACGAGCGAAGCAAAAACGAGCTGCTGAGCAAGGCTCGCGTTGCTGCTCTGGCTTGAAAGCAGCTACAGTAGCCTCAGCAACTTGCAAGGTTGTTCCGTGAGAACGCCTATCAGGGCTTGGGGCGGTTTCAGGCTTCCAGGGGTTAGGGTTGGGTGCATTCCAGCATAGTTTTCACCACTAGCCTGTAGCTGTCTGGGCAGCTGTCCCCACCGAGCTGTCAGAAAAAGCGGATGATCCGGCGGGTATTCTTAGTGTGCCTACGATGACGACATGATGCCGTGGAACTTCGTCCGCCAGTCTTCCTGGGTCTGGCGTGCTTTTTACACAGCAGGATGGCTCCCGGCCAACCCGGTCCTGTGTGTATCACAGCAACCGTGGAAACATCAAATTCAACTCAGCTTCGTCAAGTGTGTGAAGAAAGCCTCGCCAGAGAGCTGATAGAGGTGCTAGCAACGAGAGGGTCATATAATCTATATTACAAGGCCAGCGCTAAAGTCATGGCCACCGACGAAGAGCCGAGAACCACCAAAGCAGCTTCAACGCCGCTCCACACAGCACCCGAAAAAGCAATCTAGACCGTGAAGCGCCTCCGGATTTGTCCCAAAGGCCTTTTATACCGCACCTGAAACCACGTGGTGAGGCGCGCGAGTCTTTAGAAAAGGAGATGAAAGAGAAGGTCCACGGGTGTCAATGTGGATTTTGCAGCTTTGGGGTAGGGGGCATGGGCTTTCTGGTGAACGTCTTGGCTAGAATTTTGCGCCGTGCTGTCGGGGTTTATGGATTAGGTGCAGTGCAGGAGCTTAAGGATCCTTGCTTGCAGCCGTTCAGATGTCGTCTCCAGATTGTCGTTTCCGGGTAAGTTCTGCATTTCTAGTGTGACTGTCTCCTGCAAGACAAGCCGTCTGATGCATGCGACTCAGTCTCATGGCACCGAGGTGCTTTGGTAACATGTACATAGCTGCTCCAAGTGCCAGGACCAGCGTGCAGAAGAGGCCGCCAAAAAGGCAAGTGCGTGCACCCGGGCTATTGTACCGCCACCAATCCAAGCAGCAATGACGGAGACCAAGCAATCCAGGTTAGCAGTGGGGATTTCGGTGTTGTGTGATTTTGAGAGCTGGTTGATGATTGCTACCCCCTGCGCCGGTACATGAAGCAAATATGCTCCCCTGTGCTTCCTCGCAGGCACAGGAAGAGCTCGACAAAGAAAAGAAGCAGAAGGCATCTGACTGGCTTCTGTCAGGAAACAACTAATTACAACATTCTGCAAGACAGTGACCCATCTCGTTCCTGATGCAGTTAGCCGCCAAGCCCTGCGCTGTGTGGAGACTCATTACGATGCTCCCGGAGTGTTCTGGTTCCCGTCTTCAAGTCTCCGACAGGAACAACAAGCACAAGAAGCCGACGGGAGCTTACACTGGGACAACATGTCACATGTCTGCCTATGGCGATGCAAATGTATTGTTGGATCATGCGTCTGCTAGTGTTCCAACTGATTGGGATGGGGCTGGCAGCTTGTGCTCTTGCCTCCTAGGGCACGCAGCAGTCCGAGCTGAACAAAAAGGTCACTCAGCTCGAGGCCGCAGCTTTCGAGAGCGCTCCAGATGGAACGCGGGCACAGTTACACGTGAGCATGGTTTAAACAACCTCGATGTAGTCTCAAGACACACCACTGCTGTTGCGAACCTAGGCTTGTTCCGACTCGAGGCTTATTGTAGGAAGCCTGAGACTATCCCCAGACTACAGGCTGCTGATACAACGTGTACCAATTAACGGGGCTACGTTACAGGACACTTTGACGTTGTATGAAGTCAGCTGCACAGGCTACGCTGCAGGAGGAGCGCGGCAAGGTCCAGAGCCTGACCAAGGCAACACCATGCAGACAGAATCGGAATGGATGCCGGTGATGGTGATGATGATGATGATGATGCAACAGTTTTGATGAAGCATGACCAGCCTCCAGTGACAACTTCAATGAACGTTTCGATCATTGTGATCAACATGCCGTAGCCAGAGCCGAATAAACGCCAGAACAGCAAGTCAAAGATCTGTTTGGACGTGCACAGTGGGAAGGAGAATAATTGACAGCCCTTGTAGTCCTCTCGTGCTGATGCTACCCTTCCGTGGCAAATTCGTTGGCAGCAGCAGCAGTGGGGAATTCTTTGATAGCTGTCAATCGACATCATATCTCCGTGCAGCAATCAAATCAGAGCACGGCATGACACTATCAGAAAATGGACGCAGAAAATGGACGCCCTGGTCGCGATCAAACTCCTGGCTTCCATTTGCGATCCGCTTTGCATCCCAATTGCAGGCGCGTGACGATTTGGCCAAAGAAGCCAAGGAGCAGGCATTCAAGCTTGGAGAAGCAGATTCGGATGCCAGCCACACATTGCCTAGAGCAGGCGATAGAAGTTTGCCCCACCTTCTTGACTCTCTGCTGCACCAGCCGTGGAACCTGATGATGTGATTTGCTGCAGGAAAAACGCGCCAAGCAAAGTGAAGGCCTCAAGGCGTTTGGCCCTCAGGCAATCAATGTCCGTGGTTACTCTGGTCTGGTGCAGGTGCAGGGCATGCGTCGCACCCACCAGAGCTAAGTCCTGCCTCTGCAAGTCTCAGGTTGCACACCAAGAAAATCGATGAGCTGACCGTAGTTGCCTCAGACGGCTTGTGCGAAAACATTAGGCTCAGTGCGTGCCATTCCTAGCAGCGATGGTCACCTACACAGATTCAGGCGAAGTTGGATGCGGAAAAAAAGCAACTGGAAGATGAGCGGAGCAAGACCCAAGCCATGGCTAAGGCACGAATTGCACCAGTTGCCTCAGCAGTTTGAAAAATGGACATGGTCCTTCCAGATCCTTAAGCCCGAAACCCTAAAACCCGATGCCCTCCCTCATTTTGGAGCAATCTCTGCTGCTGCTCACGTCTGAGAGGCGCAAGAGGACTCTGCAAAGGAAGCCAAGGACAAGGCGCCCCGATGCAAACGATGGTCATTACGGCATGTAAGACTAATTTTGGGGCCAAAATCTAATTACCTACACTATCTGGAGGGTTCCTTATAAGAAAAAATATCGTGTAGTGGACCCAGGACTGTTGCTGTCCTAAACCCCTCCACCCTAAACCCGCGTGCACGTCCGAGGGCTCACAACACTCCGAACTCCAGAAGAAGTTCACGCAGCTGGAGGCAGCAATCGATCCAACTTTGTTGCAGTCAGGGCAGGATGGCTTGCGCACAGTATAATAATACAATAATAATATAATAAAACCAACAACAAAAACATGAATTCAACACAAATAACAACATTGATTAATAGTGTGTCTAGAATGTCTGGTTGGTCGTGCGGCCTTGAAGGCCACACTCCAGGAGGAGCGCGGCAAGACGCAGGCGATCACCAAGGCAGCGCCGATGAGCATCGTTCCATGACATTGAGATGTTAGTAAACTGAGAGAGTGCAAAGATGCACTGCCGCCGGAGGATACCGGGAACAATGGTAATTGTAGTGGCAGGAGTAATGTAGCAGCAGTTGCAGATTCCGCTGAGAGTCCAATGCGGTTAGATCAAGGCAAAAAGGATGCACCCCAAGAATTGGAAGGATCCTGATCACCACCGTGCACCGTTGGGCGAGAATTATTTTCCAAGTCTGACGAACCGCACGGATCCTGCCTCGCATCGCTACTTACAGCGGCAAGAGGGTCTGAATGCATTGCAGGTTCGCGACAACATGGAGCTTCAAGCCAAGGAGCAGGCGTTGCACCTGGGAGCATGCTCCGACTGTGTGCTTTTATGGTGGGACACTGCCTGGCATGTGCTATGATGCTCGGATCATCTCAGAGTCATCACTGACTCAGTGCGGTTTGCCATCAATCTGCAACCTGCTTTGGTTGGTTCCTTCGTTCGATGCAGAGCTTGCACATTCCTGTGCCCGGCGCCCTTCCGCTATGAATCCCGGACAGGAGAGGAAGCTTCAAGCCAATGACACATTGAAGCAGCAGCACCCTCAGAAAGGGAGTTGCTCCACATCGCGGCAGCCACGCTGCAATGGAAGATGCATCCTGCTGCAACCCATTCTTCCAGGTCGGGTAAAACCGCCAAAAAGCCTAGACCCCGCCCAGATCCAAACCCCGCCCCTTATAATAGAACCCTATAGTACCCTATAAAGGGACGAAGCCCGGAAACCCGAAGCCTTCGACGCTGCCAAGGCTGCAGATGAAGCGCGTCGACAAACTGGAGGCCGACTTTTTCGTAGTGATTACTATTAGTTAAGAATAACAACCAAAAAACATGAGTTATGATTATTGTTAATCATATAATTGTTATAGTTATAACGACAATGATGGTAATAATTATTGTTGGGTCTGTGCATCTCGTTCATTTTTGCAAGTTTGGGGCTCAGAGCCTATGGGCTGTTTGAAGCATGGCTAGAGGCGGTTTTGGAAGGCGCTGCGGTTGAGGAGTTGTGTCGAGGCGAGGCTTGGAATGAAACTCCGAATCCTAAATCTCCGATTCGTAGTTAAAATTGAAACCGTACAAAAACCCGAAAATAAAACGAAACCCGGAGGAAGAGAAGAAGCTCTTGACCGAGCAAGTGGCGAAGCTCAAGGCTGAACTGGCAACGCGAGCACCGGAGGCCTGGCGGGCCTTGTTTCTTTTTTTTTTCTGCGGTTTGGGGTTTTATAGGTGATATAAGGGCTGTATAAGGGTTTCATGGGGGTTGGGGGCTTGGGGTTAAGCAGGATACAGAAGGGGGTTCGGTTTCAGGGCTTCAGGTTTGGGGTTTAAGACCTATGGGTTCAGAGCTGCGGGCTTAAGTTTTAGGTTGATTTGGTTTAGGATTTTGAGGCTTGGGTAGATCGTGTTTTTTGTGGCAGCTAGTATAGCCGGTCGTTACAGGAATTTGAGTCTGCAGGGTGCTCTTCTGGAGCTTCTTTGGGGTGTTTTGGGGTTCCTGTTTGTTTGGTTGTGGGAGCGTTTGTGCTAGAACTTGAGCGAGTCCACCTGGTTGTAACATGTGCCTGAAAGGGGAACCTAAATCAAGAGCGGTTTAGGGTTTGGGTTAGGCAGGCTTAAAAGCCAAGTTTGCGGTGAAACCCCCCAATTTCACACCTGCAGGACCAGAAGGAGCTGACAAAGGTGCAGAGGCAAGCTGACCTGGCGATACACCTTTCCATGGAGTACCGCAAGGCACGCCTTGGGTAGCCTTTACCCCGTATCAACCCCGCTCACAAAGATATGAGGCCAACTACTGCGAAAATTGCTGGTTCACGGTACCAACCGCAGTGCTATCATCGGCTCAATTCCTTTTTTTCAGGGGGGGGGGGGGGGGGGG